CAAGCCTGGTACAAGGGAAACACAGAAAACGAGGAGTAATACCTGTAACAGGTAGCCACACACCTCCCCCACCCTATCCTACCCCCTACCTACCAACCAATAGGCTACGAGCCTCACCTTCATCTAGTTAAAACCCCTCCTAAATATCGTAGCTAGAAACAACCTACTTAGATACTTGTAGGCCTAAAAACCCTACACGTCTTATATAGCCCTTCGGGCTGAAAAAGGACGTTAAACTAGAATAATAATAATAATAATAATAAGCCGACATGGAAAAAGGAAAATCAACACATTGGAAAAGAAAAAGAAAAGCCAGTCAGGGGCTAACACGCCTCGAGAATTTTTGTTCAAGGCGAACCCGGAGATATATACACAGAAGAAGGAACTTTTGTCTCGCTGGTCGCGACAGAAGCCGCCTTCAGCTCTTCAGCCTCATCAGCCAGAAAAGCCGGGTTGGATTCGAAGCCAGGATCAAGCCACAGGGCATTTGGATCCTGGTCCTTGATCATTTTGCGAATGGTTTTCGGCTTCTTGTGGCCTCCAGCATAGAAAATGACAGCGCGGATGGCGCCAAAGACGGAGACGAGCGAGTACAGCTGCTTGTACAGTGGATACGTGATTGCGGCCCAGAAGCGCGGCTGCAGATCCGGGCGGTGCCGCGCGTTGAAGTACTTGAAGGCAAGGATGGGCAGCGTGGCAGCGAGCATCAGCGGGAGCCCCATGCGCCAGAAATTCACGTCGTTGCCCATGGTCACGAGAACAGGGACGCGCACCCAGTCGACGACAATGGTGGCGATGGAGTACAGGTGGATGAATTTCTGCGTGAAAATGCCCCACGGTGTGGTTTGCCCGTTGAGCGAAAGCAACATGCGATCGGCAAAGGCGACGAGACGGCCGTGCCGGCCCATTTCCCACGAGCGGTACCGCTGGTTCCACCAGTTTAGGCCCGGGCCCAGCACCGTGGTGGGGACTTCGGTTTCTAGCACGCACGTGGCGTCGAAGGCGATGCGCTTCTTCATGCGCTGCATCGACAGGCCCGTGTTGACGTCTTCGGCGATGAAGTCGATCGAGTGGTAGTTGCTGATGAGGTCAATCAGCGTGTCGCGCTCGCAGAACCACCCGGCGCCGTGGGGATACAGCACTCCGCAGATGGACGACTCGGCGAGCTTGGTCAGTCCAGACATTTTGTATTCGCAGTCCTGCCAGGCGACCATGCACATGGGTACATCGCCGTTTGCGTCGACGGCCTTGAGTGGAAATGCGCAGCCCTTGGTAATATCGTCCATCTTGTCAATGGGTGCTCGGAAGTTGGCGGGGATGGATACGTCGTCGTCGACAGTCATGATCCAATCGTGGTCTTTGGCGGCCATGGCTCCTACAAGCTGGGCAGCGTTCTTACTTCCGATGGGAGACCAGATATAGTTGATGTCAGGGTGTTCGCTTCGAATGAAGTTGCGGAAATCGGGCGACGGAGGGTGTCTCGAGCGCCCGTTGTCAACGACAAAGATGTCTTTTGGGCTGAAGTGAACGAATGCGCTCTTGAGAACTTTGCTGGTAGCTTCGTGATCGCTATTGTGGCATGGGATAACGAGTGCTGTCCGGTTGTTGGGCGGCGACTCTATAATACTAGCAGCTTTCTCAAGGTCGATGAGTGTCTCTGATACAGGCGGCTCTGCAGGTGGACTGGCGTCAGGATGTAGCGGCGGAACGCGAGCAACAAGAAGAATGACGGTGATCATGAGTGGCTCGAGACCAAGGACGATAATGAGAACCGGAAGCATATTACTCCTAGTGATCTCCATGGACTTTTTGATCCAACCAAAGTAGTGGTCCGAGATGGCAATGCCAACGGCCAGGGCAGCCACGATGGCAAGAACAATGTACTTCTTCCATGTAAACGGCCAAAACACCTCGCGTATGTCGATCATCTGCCAGATAGTCCTAGGGTGGACGTGGTTGAAGATTTTCCGCTTGATGGCTGACAGTACACGAAGGAATGCTCCTCGTCGGTCTCGCTTCGGTGCGCCTGGCCGAAGTGGTAGTGAATCGGTACTGGACAAAGCAAGACTCGTTGTGGAGGAACGCGGTGTACCATATTGATATGGCGATTTCTGTCCATCCCAGCTGTTGATTGATCTGGAAGAGCCATAGGAGAAGAAAGCAGGTCTTGGTGAGGGTAGTGCTCCATCTTCAGAGATGATGCTCCCTGACGAGTGCATTCCCGGGTGCGCGTCTCCACTCAATGTGTACGAGTTGAAGGCTGGTCCCTGACGGATGGCTGTTATCTCGTCCACATCTCGTGTAGGAATGAAAGACAATCCCGCCATGTCTTACTAGAAACAATATATTAGAAGAGAAAGATTATAGTAACGAGTGTGGTGCCTTGGGATGAGGGTACACGAAACCCATAGGGACGGTATCTCGCGTGGTTTTGAAGGGCTCAAACTACCGCCCTCCCCTGAGTCTAGAAACAGGGCTTGAGTATCGATTCTGCAATTTGCATGCCGGCACCTCATTAACCGAATTTGCTTTCACTTCAGCTTGTCGCCACAAGCGTGCTCTGGTACATCTCGACCGCCAATACGAACCCGCAATATCAGTAGAGACATCCCTATCGATAATTTAGCACCCTTTTTTAGCATTGAATCTCTGAGGCTTGCATACTGCTAGCTGAAAGGTCGCTTATAGTGGCTTGCTATGGCAATCTGGGCGGCAGCGGACCGTAGGCGAAGGCAAAGCCTCGTGGGCTAGACGACCCGTTAAGGTACCGCCTAACGGCATGCAGCAATGTCAGCATGAAAACCGCAGGCCTAGATCACCAAAAAAAAGTATGTGCCTGCATTGCACGTGGCTTGACATGCGGCCCTGGCCTCGTCGGAAGAGCCGACAGGTACGCGACACCTCCGCCTCCACTCAACCCCAGTGCGCATCATTTTCTTACCGTGGCCCCGGTAAGCACCCGCGATGCAAGGCTGAAAACAAATAAAAGTTTTGTTTATGTTGCGTAAACGAAACCTCCACGTCCCAACGCAGCAACGTACGATGTGGCTTTACTGCGTAGGCGAGGCCGCAGCAAAGATTGCCCGATAACACATCTCGGGTAACCGCACATTCGTGTAACTGCAGATTCTGAAGACCTCTGGCTGTCTTTCGCAAGATTCCAAGCTGTGTGAAGGCTGTGGTAGGCCGAGATCGCCCCATGCTGTATCCTTGTCATGGATGGTTGCGATTCGAATCAAGCTTCTCCGGGGTTTACTATGAGGCAATTAGGTGATATCATCCCAGGTCCAAATCACTCCGCAGAAGCAAAGTGACATGCTTGCCCCTGGCCCAAGTTTGCGTGGCGTCAAGGGTCTGATCGTATCGAACATGGGTGGACTCAAGGCAGGGTGGGGGCGGCACGTTATGCTCGAGCCAATCTAACAGACACTCGCCGCTGCCACGTTTCTGATCCTTGCTGTATACTCGCCAATCCGTCTAGATTCTCAATTAGACGCACTGTGATATGGAAAAGCAAAACTCAGCCATTTCGGAGTCCTTGGAATATACCCTAGCCGTATAGAGAAGGCACTGCGACTATCGAGCGGAAAAGCCTTGGCATAGAAAAATGGTCCATGGGCTGAAGCCAGGCGAAGCGAAGGATTGTATATTCCAGATTTGGAGAATTGAATGAGCCATGTAGAGCTTGGATACTTTGAGGAAAAATGAAGAGGTTGACAGAAGAGGTTGTGTACTTAAGGGGACAAGATGGTATGCTCCAAGTCAGTACTCAGCATATCATCAAGCTTCATCTTTACAATGCCTTACTTTGAAACACGCTCGTTTCCATCTTCTGAGGATGCATCGCCATGCTCGCCTGCATCCAACAGCCCTTCGGGATACAGCACTCCTGCCTCTGAGGTTGACGACCCTCCGTATCTCAGCTTAGCAGCAGCCAATCTTCAACGGTCAAAGTTTGTGCTTGTCGTTGGTGGTCTGGGCTACATTGGCAGCCATACGTCGCTGGAGCTCCTTCGTGCCGGCTTCAACGTGGTGATTGTAGACAATCTCGACAACTCGTACCTGACGACACTGGACCGGATCAGAACACTCCGTGACGACTACTACTGTGGCGAGTCGTGGGCACCATCAGTGAGCTTCTGCGAATCAGACTATCGTGATTCGGCAGCCATGTCGACTATCCTGCGTCACTATGGTGCTGGCACCTCTGTATCAGCCATCGAAGGTGTCATTCACTTCGCTGCTTACAAGGCCGTATCTGAGAGCATCCAACAGCCGCTCAGATACTACGACAACAATGTCTCCGGAATGGTCGCCTTCTGTTCGCTGCTAGACAGCCTCGACGTTAAGACGCTCATTTTCTCCTCGTCGGCCAGTGTCTACGGAGAAGTGACTCCCGAGATTGGGCTGAGAATCAGCGAGAACCATTGCACCCACGAAACCCGCGAATGGACAGACGCTTCCGGAAAGAAGCAAGTAACGCAAGGCGGCTGCTCGGCGATCTCCAACCCGTATGGCCGCTCCAAGTGGATGTGCGAGGCTATTTTGAACGACTTGGCCGTCTCGGATGCAGAGTGGCGCATCGTGGCTTTGCGCTACTTCAACCCCATTGGCTGCGACGCATCTGGCAAGCTGGGTGAAGACCCGCGGACGGAGCCAAGCAACCTCATGCCGAGCTTGCTGCGTGTGATGAATGGGCGAGTGCCGCATCTCAAGATTTTCGGCACCGACTGGGACACCAGGGATGGGACGGCGATGCGAGACTTCATCCATGTCAGCGACCTGGCGTTGGGCCACGTTGCCGCCCTCAAAGCTGTCAGTGAGTCGCGGCTGAGACATGGCTTCCACACCTATAACCTGGGCTCTGGAGACGGTAACTCGGTCAAGGAAATTGTGACAGCCATGCAGGCGTGTTCGGGAAGGCCTGTCCCAACAGCCGAAGTGGGACGGCGGGCGGGTGACGTGGGTGTTGTCGTGGCGGATCCCACAAGAGCCGCGGAAGAGCTCAAGTGGCGAACGGAGAGGTCCATTGAGGATTGTTGCAGGGATCTTTGCCGCTTCCTCCGCATTGATGAGGGCGTGGGCAAGCCATAGTGTAGTTGACAGGTCGAGGCTCTTTGTTGTTAGCAGGCGTTGGTTGGAAAAGCAAGGGTTGATTGGTTTTTCCGTTTCGTACCTGGCGCCAAGTCGGGATGGGTGCCGGATATTAATGTAATTGGCTTTCCTTGACGCTCGCACCATGCATGCCACCTCTTTCTCTGCTACCATTTTTAACCACAGCTGTCGTGATGCAGTATAAAGACCCTACGTAAGCATGCAGTAGTCCCCTACTGCTGCGCCCTTTGTCCGGGTCGAAGAGGCTGAGCACCCAAACCCACAATGTAAGCACATTTTTTTTTCTTTTTCTAGCCGCCGCCGGGGGGCCTGTCTCAGTGACATGCAGCTGTCCGTGTCAGCCTGAAGGCTGTAGCACATATCTAGTTTGGGGAGTTCCAGCTGCTAAGAGATGGTCATTTCACTTACACAGTGATCCTGATCGCCGACAGTTTTGACCCTGAGTTCGCCATGTTTCCCTCCCTCGCGCTGCTATTGGTTCTCGCCGTACCTGATGTCCTCAAGGTCACCGCAAAAGAGTGTACCAGCTTCTCCACCAATGGCACACTCGCAGCTACATACAACTTCCATCGCTTTTACGATTTTCGGAACTTGGGGGACAGTGATGTTGGCGAGGCAACAACAGCATCAGCCAATAGCGATGACCAAAAGGGCTCAGTGACCTCGAATGGCCAGTCTAAGATCATCACCGCTTCGCCCTGGAATTCTGGTTGGAATGCTCGGTACTGGTTAAGGCCAGCAGCCAAGGAACATACGTTGGACATGCACTATACACCGTCTAGCGTGTCGATAAGTAAGTCTTTTTTCCCTTTCAGTGGCTTCCATTGTACTTACCTGTCATAGGCAACAACAGCGACGGGTCCGAAGGACATCCTACTTATCTTACTCTTCACACAACACGGCTCTCCAACGGTACACAGTTGGCGTCTGAATTGGACTTTTCCGAGTACAACGTCACATATGCGTCGTTACGCATGTCAGCGCGTATCCACGGTGCCCCTGGAGCAATTGCCGGCTTCTTTACGTACCACAATGACACGAGCGAATCGGACATCGAGATTCCGACTGGAGGCACTGGCGACGAAGTACACTGCTCGAATCAGCCCACCACAGATCCTGATACGGATGTACCAATCAAAGACGCAACCTTTAACGTTTCCATGAAAGACCAGCAGCCTACCTCTACATGGAACAATTATCGATTGGACTGGGTGCCAGGAAAGAGTGCATGGTATGTCAACGGCATCCAGTCTGCTGAGACTAAGGTGAACGTCCCGGATGCCGAGAGCATGATCATCCTGAACCTCTGGAGCAACGGTGGAAACTTCTCCGGGCGTATGAACACTGGCAATGATGCTTGGTTCGACATACAGTGGGTTGAGCTTTTGTTCAACACTACCGACAGCACTGCAATCAAGAGCAGTCGCACCGTATGCTCGGTAGAGTCGTCTCTAGGGTCACCCGTTCCTAGCGCTTCGTCTAGTATCCATGAGAGGGTCTCAGGGTATATCTGGTGGGTCGTCGGTGTTGTTTCGACTGTGGCTTTTGTAGCTTCTGTATAGTTCGCCAATACGCGAAGAGCGTCTAGAGTGCGGAGTTCCCAGTTTCATGTAGATATGTAAAGATTCCAAATTAAGTAGATCCATAGCGGCACACACCAACTTTTAAGCAGAAATCTTTCATCAAAACTCGTCAATTTTCTATCAGATATAGGGGTAACACGTCGCGAGAAACCGATTTACGCCACCTCTAATGTGTGCAGCCCTCTCGTTGAGGTGCTAGAGGGGGTATTGTCGGTATTCTTGCGACGTGTTCGAAATGCGAAAATCTTCAAGAACGCACAGACCGCCCTGATGACTAATAAGGAGACTACCAAACGAAACCAAAAACAATTAAAAACACCAAATAAAACAACAAAAATCAAAAATCCTATATCTAAACGCCGAGACAGCCTGATCCCGCTGTGGCACCATATCCAACCGCCAGGACAGTCTTTGCCTACTGTGGCACAAAATTCAAAAACGCTATAACAGTTTTCTAGTCTGTAATAGCAAAATAAGTCGAAACGCTGAGACAGTCTTCGCCTACTGTGGCACCAAATCCAAACGCTGATACAGAGACTGG